GTGCATGCGCCATCCACCAGTGCTGACCGACTCCCCACAGAGAGGAGCCAGCTGTGGGTACACACAGCAGGAGCAGACCCCCCCCCACGCCTTCTGCAAGAAAGTCACGGAAGAGGCCATGCCCACGAGATGCCAAGCCTACGGCCTTCTGGGACAGGCGGAGCCATGGGTTGAACACCAGCCCCTGGTTGCTGAGGCCTGGGGCGGGGGATCCTGGGAGGTGAGGAACTTTCGAGTATCTTGGTTGCGGAGTTCAGTTCACCTGAGCGAGAGCCTGAGAGAGGGAGCGCACTGCCTAACAACTACCCCTCAAAAATGAGCACCTCAGTCTACAAACGTAGCAGCCTGTGCCTGTCCCCACCACGGCCAGACCAGTGAGGGTGGGGACACTGCGTGAGGAAGGAAGGAGTGAGGCCTGCATGGCCGACTCTCAGGAAGGACGGTGGGCACAGGGCCTCCCTGCTGGGGCTGAGCGCCAGCTGCTGCTGCCTCTGGCACAGAGCAGCTCCCCCACTGTCCTCAGCTCCACCGTCAGTATGTGGACAGTAGGAGTGTTGCAGGAGTGACCCTATTGTGGCACCCTTGTGGGCTCACTGTGGCTGCCTTGGGGAGAGAAGCCGAGGTGTGGTGAGCCCCATCTTCCCCTGTGCACCCACCCTCCCTGGGCTACGCCCACTGGTCACGCCCATTGGTGAGGGTGAGGATATCTGGGAGCTGGTCCTGCAGGGAATGTGGGCATGGCCCTGGGCTGGTGCTCAGCAAGCAACCACCTAAGTAGCCGGAAGGACAAGGTTATCAGCTGCCAGGCTCCAACACCTGCCATCTGTCAGGCATTGTGCCGTGTGCCTCCTGCACTGCTGCCATCACGTCCCCTCCACACACCCCAGTGGGACACACTGCACCCACCGCGAACCCCACTTCCCAGATGAGGACACCGAGGTCTTGTGCCCTGGACGCCGGCGCTGGGCATGCACTGTGCCGGGCACTTCGTGCGCCTCTGTTGGGTAATGAGATTCGGCAAGTCCAGCACCAGCCCCTAGTGGAAGGCATCCAGTTGCTCTGAGCTGAAGCCCTCACCTCCCTTGGGCCCACCCCTGGCAAGCCTGGCCCTAACGCCTGTCACGGTCACTGTAAGGGCCTACTCAGAGTCTGGTTGTGCCTGTCTCAGCAGTGACTCACACGCTTGCGCCCCAGGAGCGCTGGGATCTGAGGACCAGGCGCCATTGTTCCCCTCTGTAGCCCCAGTGCCTGCGGCTGGCCCCGCATGCCCTGGAACCCCGAGTGGCGGCTGGAACATTTCTGACTTCTAATCTGACATACTGCAGAGAGACTTTCCCCCCTTCACTTTCGAATCCCATGTGCTCTTTTAATTAATGAAAATTCAGTTCTATGCAAATGTTTCTTCTGGGACCATCCTCTGTGAGCAGCCTTTTGGGAGCTAACTCATCAGCCTCTTCCCTGAATCCGTGTTTGGAACATTCTGGGAACTCGTTATTGGGCCTCTGAACCGAGGAGCTCAAGTGAGCGAGATCAACAAGCCCGCCGCCACTTGGCACTAGGAGTCGGCAGCGCTGGGAACCACAGGCTTTGTTTATTGAGAGCTCTTCACTTCCCTGTCTCCCGCCAGACACCGCTGCCTGGTGCTGTTCGCCTTGCGCCTCTGAAAATGCAGCCATTTGGAAAAGCAGGCATGCTCCAAAGCCCATGAAGGTCTCTCCTGTGCATTCATTCATTAATTCAGGCCCGAGGCTCCTCTAATTAGGACACTAGCAGCCCCGAGTCTCATGCATAGCTGGGACAATATATTTATTTTGTGTCTGACACTACAGCTCTACAATATCGGAGCTCAGTGTCATAAAGGTGACAAACCTTTTATCTCGGCAAAAGCAAAGACTTCACATCCAAATAGATGCGGCTTCAGACTCTGGCCCCTTCACTTACACCTGTGTGACACCAGCAGGGCCAATTGGCCGCTCTGGACCTCAGGCTCCTTATATACCAAATGAGAGGGATGGAGAAAGCTCTCAGGGACCTTCCAAGGATGAAATGTAGCAACAGGTACAAAGTAGGGCCACCATACAAGTGGGTTTCTTATTCCCTTTGCAGCTGGGGCCCCTGTGGGCGTATCCAGCAGGTCCACTCTCCTCTGCTTTCCTTCAGTGGGAGGCCAGGGTTTGAGGTGGAGGAAGGCCATACAGCTCTCCAGGGGCGGGCTCGGGAAATCTGCTAAGCATGGAGTCCAAAGCAGGCCGACTGGTGGGAGCTGGTAGCAAACTGCCTCGAATGTCCCCAGTGGTCCAGGGGCTACATTCCTTGGGATCATTTTGCTTTTTGGAAACAGCCTAGAAACAGAACTAATTTACAGGATTACAGGGGAGGCTCCAAGTGGGGGTTCCTACCGCCATCTCCCCTCTCTCTTCAGCCCTCCCATGGGGGTCCCTCTCTGACTCTACCTGACCTTTCCGGCAGGGTTCCCGAGGCCTCAGGTTGGTGCTCTGCTCTCCTGCTTCCCCGCCTGGGATCTAGCCCCTTCCTGAGGTTTGCTGATCTGGGCCTGGAAACCGCACCACCACACCTCCAGCCCTCCTCACTCCTGGAGGACATCGACTACCAATACGAGGTCCCACAGCCACCTCACCTGCAACGCCCTCACTCCCACCACGCCTCCAGCCTGCTGCTGCTGTGACCCCCTCCACAGGAGGTGCTACTGCGACCCCAGCTGGCCAACTTGCCTCCCCCCTGCTGCCCCCTCAGCTCCCGGGTCCTGCCCATCGGATTTCTCTTGAATCTGAAGGCAGTGACCTCCTTGGTTGAATAGGCTCTGGATCCTTCTGGAAAGGGATTTCAGAAAGGTCGTCCGGAAGGGAAGCTTTGCTGGAGTGGGCAAGCATCCACCCACGGCCGGGGTCTTCACAGGAGCCGCTAGTGAACGCGCACGTTGTCAGGCCCTTCTGCTGGAGGAGCCGCGTCCCGAAGGCCAGGCTGCAGCCGCGCTGCTGAGTGTGGGAGTCCACCAATGACGTCCACCGGGGCCAGTCACCCAACCTCTCTGAGCATCCCCTGCACCCCCCTCCCGTCTGCTCACCTCCTAAATGGGAATAAATAACCGTGCCAGCCTGGTGTTTGTGAACATCAAAGGAAGCGATCGGCTCCGTTCCCGACAGTTAACACTGTGACAAGCCGCCTGTGGCTTTGCCATGTTTTTACAATGTCATCTATTCATTTAATAAGATGAATGAAAACAGCTTAGCTTCTGAGATGACAGCACAGATTTGGAATCTCCAGATCTGCACTAAACCCAAAGCAAACAGCTATATCAAAACCCCTTGATGTATCTGCTTCAAAACCAGGTTGTCCCCAAATACAAAACACTGCAGTGACGAGTGACGTCTGTCAACAGGAAACAGAGAAGCCACGGAGCAGCAGCCGGTGGACCGAGGACAAAGAACCCCAGGCGGCCAGCAGGGTTCCCTGGGGCCTCAGTGGAGCTGGGGGAGCCAAGGGTCCCTGTGGGAGAGAGCTGGGGGACCAGCATCGGAGCAGCGGGCCCTGCGGACCAGGGAAGCCAGGGAGGGGAGCAGAGGCAGGCCTTAGCCTCAGGTCGGCCTCCTCACGGCCCATTCAGCCAGCAGAGTTCTCCTGAGCCACGTCATCTTCTAAAGTCCACAAGATGGCGTTTCACTTAGGAATGAGCAACAGGAAAGTATCAAACTCCACACAAAGTTATTGTAAGTGGAAGGAAAACGAAGAACAGAAGAACACACTCACAAGGCAAGTACCCAGAAAGAAGGGCCAGTAAAGCAGATCAAAAGTGCCATCCCTGCCGCTTCACCAGAGCTGAGTCAGGCGGTGTGTGGTTCCACCAACGGTCACACAAGAACCGGGCCGTCAAGCACCCTGGCCCCGTGCGGTCCCTTCCACACAGCTGCACAGGTGACTTGGTTTGACCGACTGAAGTTCAGAAAATGCGACACAGCCATGCTGCTCAGCATGTGGGGATTATGTGCCTCATGTTGAAACTACTGCTGCTGTGACAGGAGGCCCACCCCAGCCCCTAAGAATGGGAGACCACATAGAGAGAGGCCCCTCCACCTGAACTGACCCCCAGTGGAACTGACCCTCTGCTGGGGCCGAGCACACGTGACAGATTGAGCCCAGCCAAAATGCAAACAGAGCACCCACCAACCAACAGAATGGTAGAAATGACACCCTGTTGTTTGTCCAAGCCTCTAAGTTTTAATGTGGTTTGTTGTGCAGTAATTGGTAGCTAATATAGGATTCAGAATCAACAACCACCAAAGACATTACACAAAATTAAGCAAGACATGAGAGTACAATACAAATCAGAAAAAAGTGCCTCAGAAATCAGTCAAGAGAACTCAGGAAACAAGAGACACAAAGGGAAAATCATTTCAGAAGGAAAAACATCGTAGAAAGCACACAGAGAGACACACAGATGATGCCTTAAGGGAACCGTCACAATGAGGTCATTTTAAAAGAAACAGAGGAAGAAGAGGCAAAAAGGTTTGAGAGAAAGTCACAAATATGAAGATTGGCAAAGAAGAACCAGCGTTCAGATAAAAGGCACCCTGGCAAGGGGCACTACAGCCAGAGACCAGGCACCTACTGAAAACAACCCTTCCGTGACAAGTCCCCAGGGAAAACCCGCTGGAAATCACACACTGAAGGAGCACCGTGTACCGAGGCATGCAGACCCAGAACATAGCACAGGCGGTATTCTGCAATGCTCCTGGACTCCGATGAAAAAGGAGACATATGGTTTTGCTCCTACCTGGGCAGGCCAGAGCCGAGGCTTCTGGCTGAGTAGAAACTCCAGCAAACCCAGGGGCGTGGGTCTTGCAGAGGGGACAGCTGGGGGAAGGCCCAGGGCTGGAGAGTGGGGCACACACTGGGAAGCTGGGGTCTGGCGTGGGGTGAGGAGGGCGTGGGGCAGCCGCCAAGGAGGAGAGGCAGGAAAGGTTTAGGTTGGGAGCACTCACCCATGTAGGGCTTGGTGCCAGCCATGGACGAGGCCTTCTCTGCTCCTCTCACCACCGTCGCTATGTTGAAGTCCGTGATGTGAACATGCCCTGCAGGAGCACAGATCACCCCAGTTAGCAAGAAAAACCCGGCTGCCCACCTGCGTCCTTGGGAGGTTTGTGGAAAACGTCAGGACTTCTGCTTAGAGACATGTTTTATCTGACCCTTCAACACTGCCATTCTGTGTGCAGGTCTTAGAATTTGGATTCATCTGTACAACATACATGTTACTGTGGATACCTAGATTGAGGGCAGGAAAAAGGAACAATGGATTAAAAGTTGAGAGAGGCTGATCTCGAGAATGAAGACTCCTGGTAATCAGCCCAGAGTGTGGCAAGGCTGTGGCCCGGGGTCCGTGGATTGGCTGTGGCTGTGAAGGTGGGAGGGGCTTGTTCACTGGGGTCAGTGGGGTCCTTAGCACAGCCCAACTGGACTTAGCATGGAGGGGGCAGGGATAGGATCGCTTCCCGTCCAGTCTGAAGCCATGGCATCTGCTCAAGAAGCACAGCAAGGACGAGACAGGAAAGAAGAACGGGGACAGGGGACATGGGGTGAAGGTGGGGGGAGGAGAAGCAGGGAGGAAGTTCAACGCGCGAAAGAAAGGCAGCTCCCAGAGCCCCGAGTCCTAGATCTAAAGGCGGCCCACTGTCACGTGGTGGGAGGATGGCTGCTCGGCCCTTCACCAGGCCTGAGGCCCCAGTGGGGGGCGTGGGATCTCAACACGCAGCTGGGAGGGGTGGCATGCACCAAATGGACCTGGGGGGCCTGGAGGATACCTCCAAGAGATGGACACACTCCTCCTGGATCAGGTGCCCTGGGGTGTGCAGAGGGTCCCCGGGGACTGCCTGCGGGAGGGGAGTGCCCATGTGAGCAGCCACAGGGGACACAGAGCACCAGAGGTCTCCTGTGCCAGCTCCACACCTCAGGCCAAACCGCGAGCCCAGGAGTGTGCCCCAGCGGCTGGGTGGCTCCCTGGCCAGTGCCCCAGGGAGACACAGTGGTGAGCCGCTTATTCCGTGATGATCTCCAACTGCTCAGCACCTGTGGACAGAGTGGAAGCAACCAGCCAGGCCTCGGCAGGGACGGGTGCTTGCTCTCAGCGTCGTGATCCAGCCAAGGGAGGCTCAAAACCACTCCCCCGCCAGGGCCCTCTGTCCTGCACCCTCCTGCCCCTCACCACGAAGGCTGGCAAGTTCATGTTCCTGCTTGTGCTGTGGGGTGTGTGGAGGTGGGAGTGTTGGTCACTGCTGCGCCCCATGCCTGAGCAGCTCCATGCCTGGTGACACCCACCACCACTGTGATGTGATTTTGGAAACTTCACATAGGGTTTTTATTTGGTTTTCTTTCACTTCCCCCTTTCCTTCAAAAGTTTAGTATTTGCATTATGAACGTAATACTAGCTCATTATAATAAGTCAAAGAAACAGAACATGATTTTCAGTCCACTCTGATCCCTCCCCAGTGACTCTCCCCACCAGGCAATCACACTGATTGGGCTAGCTTCTCCATTAGTTTTCTGTTGGCTTAGGCACAGACATTGGGCCTTTGGTCAGCTCTTTCAATAATGAGTTCATGCTCCATGGGTCATTCTAAAAGCTACTTTTGCATTTAGCCATGTACCATGGATATCTTTCCACATTCATCTGCACAGGTCTATCTACGAGACCTACAATCCCTTACCCTTTGTATCTGCTCTCTGTTGCTATAACAAAATACCTGAAATGTGATAACTTATTTTTAAAAAGAGGTTCTTTTAGCTCATAGAAAGGAGGCTGAAAGACCACGTGTGTGTGGTCTCATTTCTTCAGCCTCTGGTGAGGGTCCTCTTGGCTGCATCATGACATATGGATGATATTAGGGCTGGAGCCCATGCAAAAGGGGAAGAGTGCCTAGTGCCACAGGAGGCCAGAGAGGGATGCAGGGGCCAGGCTCATTTTTATAACTTGTTCTTGTGAGGACTGACTCACTCCATGAGATCAGCACAAATCCTGAGAACAGTGGTCTAAGGACCTAAACCCTCCCAGGCTCCACTTGACAGGTTCCACCACCTCTTGCTGCCACCAGTCTGAAGCCTACTCACGAAGAAGGCGGAGCTTCAAGTGAGCAGAGCAGTGGCCTTGAAGCCTGATCAAACCCTGCCTGAGGCCAGGCCATGCCACTCCACTGGGCCAGCAAGGAGCCAGAGAGGGCAGAGGGAGTGCAAAAGGAGTTGGAAGGGGTGGGGTGTGGACTGCACAGGACAGGGCTCTGGGCTGTGGTGAGGACTGGGGCTTTCAGTCCACACAGGGGCTCTGCTCTGCTCTGTATCCTGAGTAGACCCCAGGACGGGGACAAGGACAAGCGCAGGGAACCCAGTGGCTCACTAGGGAGAGAAGACATGCAAACCCTCTCCAGTCGAAGCTGCTGTTCTTTAGGGCCACAGCTGGCACAGGATCAGACCTCATGGTGGCCCTCAGGACTCAAGGAGGAGGACGCGACCTGAGGATCCAGAGGGAGCCACCTGCCCAAGTTCCTGCAGCTGACGGCGTGGGATCCTGCGGGGTTTCCAGGACCCTCACTCCACAGAGCCCAGTCCAGGGCCCTCACCCGTGTCCTCCGGGCCCTCAGTCAGGGGGCCCTGCTGCAGCTGAGGCAGACCCGCTGGCACACACCCCGGAGTGTGCGCAGAGCGGTGACACCCTGTGTGACAGACAGCAGGATTCCATTTCTGCTTCCCCAGACGTGCTAATCGATGGGCCGTCACTCCCTGGTGCGTCCTCTGATGGTCGTGAAGATGTAGGAGGTGAAAATCAGTGTTGAAAAGCTTTCCTACGAGCGCCTTCTTGGGAGAATGGAAATTCGACTGCAAAATGTGCAGGTGAGAACCGGGCTTCAGGTTATCTGCTTCTCATAAATGGAAAATATCCACGACTCAGAGGAAGGGGACGGGGGCATCCCCAGGCCCGTTAGCGTGGTTCTAATGAGGGGATCAGCAATCAGTAATGAAGACAGCAGCCCCGCTCTGGGCTGTGCTCGGCCGAGTGCATGGGAAGCAGCTCACCGCCCAGCCTTGGGCACCACGTGGACGTGCTGGGCTTCGCCCGCTGCCTGGCAGACTCCCCATCATTCTCCAGACCTGCCCTGTGAGCCGCCCTTTATCTCCTGCTTCCGCTACCGGGAGCCTCGCAGAAACCCACAGGGGCTGGGGTTTCCGTGTCATAGTCAGTTTGGGTGACGGTGATGGAGTGTCCCAGACAGGGCGTAAGCCGCAAGCACAGCTGCTGGAGTTTAAATGGTGTCTTCCTAAATCACATGTCGGGATTCCATCCCCAGGGTGACAGCAGCAGGCATCCTCTCAGAGGCAGAGCAGCCCTCACCAGACACCCAACTACAGATGCTGAACCCTCCGTCACCTTGATCTTGGACTTTCCAGCCTCCAGAAGGGTCACACACGTCTATTATTTACGGACAGCCCAGTCCCAGATCTTTGGTCACAGCAGCAGGAACAAACCAAGATGCACGCCCTGCTGGTTTACAGGTGGCCTCTCCTTGCTCTGTGCTCCCACGGTGGCGAGAGTGCTGGTCCCTTTGTCATCGGATCAGGACAGCAATCCCACAACGGGTGTCACCTGTGACTTCATCCAAACCGTGTACCCCAACCCTCACCTTGGGGGTTGGGGTCTTGCCATATGAACTAGGGGACACATTCAGCCCACTGCAGACCAGGTTAGGCCCCTCCTCTAGATGATCTTGCTCCCCTCAGTTGTCACCCATCCTAGTGTCCACTATTCTGTGTCAGTCAGCTCTGGCCTAGTCTGCAGAAGAGACTCTCTGAGTGTTTGTCGATTGACTGACTAACCACCAAATAACAGAGTGGACACAAGAGGCCAGGAGGCAAACCCGTGCCTTCCTCCTCCTAGAGACGGACCACACTGCCACACACCAGTGCACTTTGTCTCTCCACCTTCACTGCTGTGGCAATGGCACGTTTTTAGCCTGACCTCAGACAGCAAGACTCAACCGCCCTGCCCAGGGTTTTTGTAACCGCCAGGCCAGGGTCAGGTTGGTGCCAGAGGGAGCTGGAACGCTGGCTGCCAAGAGCAGGACACCACGGGGTTGACTCGGAAGGCTCTGTGTCATTCCTTCCACTGTCCTCTGGGGGCACCTACTGCCTGTGTTGGGGAGGGGCCGGGCCTGCAGATGCTGAGCACCTGTGGCCACAGGTCATGGAACTAAAGAAGGAGGATGGGGACCAAAGTCCCACAACCCCCACAGTGGGGCTAGAACTGCTGATGTGCAAAACCACCACAATGTTTCCCAGGTGACAGTGGCTTATGCCCTTATGCGCAGGCTGGTTCCGGGGCCTTCCCTACAGGACAAAGCACCCGGAGCTCTCCCAGGTGTGGCCACTTGCCACCGACTGAAGGCCACTGCAGCCTGGAGCCGCTCTTGCCTGGGGCTTAAAGGGTCACTGCAGGAGGAGATGCCTGGGGACAGTCGGCTCTGCAGGGCGGGTCTTGTTTAGTTGCTGTGACACCTTTTAGTCTTGTCCTCTGGAGTCACTTTGGTGGGTGCCACACCTGCCTGGACGTTCCTGGGTGTGGGTGTAGAGAGGGGCCCGCGGCCGAGGCGGAGCAGGTGTGACGGGCGGAAGGCAGTCCACAGGCGGTTTCTCCTTCCCAGGAGTTTCACCCAACTTGGTCTGTCGCCGTCTCTGCTGGCCTATGGGATCCACATTAGGCCAGAGCCAGAGGTCAGAGAGGTGCTGCTGAGCCAGGGGCTGAGGTTTGGGAGGGGCACTCCCGTCCTGCACTGTTCCAGCCCCTCCCCTGGATGCCCTGGGACTCCGTGAAGCTCTGCCTTTCCATCCAGTGGAGCTGAGGGCCGCTGGAAACCCTGGCCCCAAGGCTTTGGGAGAGTGCACTTGGTTTCCATAACCTCTTCTCCACTCCGTGGCTCTCCGGGTAACGTTGCCGGATTTCTGCACTGGTCAGGTCTCACGGCTGACCACGTCTCTGTTGGCTCTTCCTAAACCATGACCCCGGGTCCCGGGTTCTACGATGAACTCCAGGGAGTTTAGACCACGGCCCTCCCCGCTCAGGAGTTCAGGAGTAACCCAATTCTCTCACTTGGCTCCACCGGGGTTCCTCTTGGGGGAGCACAGACTCCTCCCCAGGTCCTGAGGGGCGGGCGGGGAGCCCCTTCTGGCTCTCACACAGATCCGGCCTTCCTCAGCAAAGAAGGGGACGTCTTGGCCTCTGTGTGCCAGGTTCTTGTTTTCTTATTTGTCAAAATCCCACGTGGAGAAGATGGGGTGTCGCGGCTTGAGCTTTGCGCCTCTCTCCATGTACTGAGATCTGAGCCCCCAGGACCTCAGCATGTGACCTTGTTTGGAAACCGTGTCCTTCAGGTGTCATCAGTCATGATGAGGCTGTGCTGGAACACTGGGCTCCCACCTGACCCACGTCCTGATAGGGAATCAGGACTCAGACATGCACACGGGGGACATTGTGTGAGGACTGGACCAGTCGCTGCCTGCCCAGAAGCCACCAGGAGAGGGACCTGGAGCATGGCCCTGTCCTCACTTTGTGGACTCCCAGGCCCTAGACCTGTGAGACAGCACTTCTGTGGCCTAAGTCTCTCTGTTTGTGGGACTTTATTACGGCCGCTCTAGAAAGTACAGGGGCTGTTAATTGGTGGCCTCAGTCTCATGCACCAGGTCTTTAGGACCCCAAGACCCTCCCCTTCACCACCGTCAAGCAGAAACCTCCTGTCCACAGCCTCCAGCCCTCCCAAGGGCACCTTGAGCAGTTCTAAACCATCCCTGGGCTTTGTCCCCAGACTCCCCAAGCCCCTTCTAGAGTGATGGCGTCCACTGTTGGCTGCCCAGACTGAGCCCCACACCTCTGCCCCTTGCTTGCCTGGGGCCCCACCTCCTTCTCGGCTGCCCCGTCCCTGCCTCTGAGCGCCGTGAACAACACCTGCCCAAATTTTGGAATTCCTGGAGTCTCGCCTCCTGGCATGCAGGGGAGAGCCCAGGAAATGTTTTGACAAGGGAGGAGGGTGTCCAGCTGCTCTGTGACACGGCTGCTGTCACCAGGTGCGGAAGAGCCAGGCCGGGCTCCTGATCTCCACTGTGTCCTCCCAGTCCATGCGAAGAGCGGGTCCTTCTGAAGTGCTGGCCCCCAAGATGCTCCCTGGACCCCCTTCATGGCCCTGGTCAAAGGTGGGCGTGCCCTCCTCCCGGAAGCCCTCCCTGGCCCCTCCGTGGCCTCTGCCTTCTGCTTCCCTAGCCCAGCCCTGGCCCTGCAGGGTCACGTTGGCAGTTTGGGTTTCTGCCCCCCGCCCCCAGTCCTGGTCACACTAGGACACCTGGAACTGTAGTAAGTCCCACTGCTCAGCACCGTTCTGCAGGTTGGCTTGGCGTGCTCTTGAATGCTCGTTGGTGACGGCAGTGGGGACAGGACTGCCGCCCCAGGACTCCCTGGCCAGAGCTGGTCATCCTTTGGTCCCCAGCTCAGCACCTGGGCTGTGGCAGGTCTGCATGACGAAGGAGCCACCTTCCCGAGAGTGGAAGGAGATGAGGATCATGTCCCCTTGTTGTCATCAGTGAACGTTGAATCGGGGCCCTCGGTGACACCACAGGGCACAATGTGCGAGCTTCCCTTCCGGCTCTGGCTCCCCTCTCCATCCCTCTTGGGGAAGTTCAGCTGCCCCTGTGAAAGGGACTCACGCACCCCTTGAGCCCACGGCCCCTTACATTTCCACGGTGGCTTCTGTTGGTCTTAGTGGTAAGTGACAGTGTTGGCTACCTCACCACTCTCTGGGTCACCCCTGGGGCCAGGCCATGCTGCAGTGACCCCCCTTGACTCTGGTTTGGCCAGCGACTTGCTCTGCCCACTGGGATGCTGGCCGACATGACACGCGCAGAGGCCTGGGGGACTGGGCAGTCCCTGCTCTTGCTCTCCTGCAGCCGTGAGGGGGCCAGGTGGGGTGAGCCTGCCAGAGCGTGGGCCGGGAGGGGCCGGGGTGAGCTGCGTGGTCACGCGCGGGCCAGCATGATGATCAGCCAGCTGCCAGTGGCCCTCAGTGCTGGGGACCCAGACGGGACCAGCCAGCTGGGCACGGGGCACCTTCACCCCGCAGCCTGCAAGCAACCGCTTCCCGTGCTTCCCGCTGCAGCGTGGGGGTCACTTACTGCCAGCTTCACGATGCCAGCAGGAAACAGCTGCTCCTCTCCTCCCCCTGCACCTCAGACCACCTGCTGCCTTGGGCCCTTTGCCCTCCTGGGCTCCCCAGACCCCCTGCTCCACCCCACCTGACGCACGGTCTCTGCTGCTGCTTCAGAGGCCGCCAATCCCGGGGCGAATGGAGGGCGGGTTCTGAGACCCACCCGGAAGGTCGGGCCGCAGAGCAGACAGGGCAACAGGAGGCTGCTGGGTGCGTGGGTTTTGTGTGACAGCAGATCTGCGCGTCACTGACAAAAAGTCAACACATGTGTTCAGTGATGTCCAGACGTCACTGGCAACACCGCTGACCAATTGGTTCTCTGAGATGGCTCTTAGTGACAGCAGTGAGGGACTCCTTAAATAGCAACGCTGAGCTCCCCTTTGCCAGTGGCTTGGTGATGCGGTTTATCAGAGGTGAGGTGGGTGTCACCACAGTGTGGCCTGTGCCCACCGTGGAACACGCAGGCTGTGGCTCCTCGTTGTGTGCGCTATTGAGCACTGCTGTTACGAAGGCAGAGGCTCAGGAGTGTGAGGTCCATAAATAGAACTCACGAAATCGACGGCCAGGGATGCATATGACTAAATTCTTGCCCGAGATCTACAAAAGGCGCCAACGTTTTCCTTGGGGACAGCAGGGTGGAAGCCAATGTGGGTTTTCACCTGGCCTCAGAGCCCAGGTGTCCCCTTAGCTGGGGGGTCATCACCACTGCCCCTGCTTCTGTGGTCTGAGCTCAGCTGCCCTGAACAGAGAGAGGGGCAGGAAGAGGACAGGGACACCCGACCTGAGCTCTTCTGCTCTGGGTGCTGTGAAGGCCAGCCTCACTGCCTCCCTTTAGACCTTCCTCACCTGCAAGGGTGTCCACTGCTTCTGCTTTGCAGCTGGGAGGGTGGAGGTTCAGGGGCACAGCCACTGCCCAAGGGCACACAGCTGTCTGGGCTGAGGACTGGCTGGGGCTCAGGGGCGCGGCCACCTGCCCAAGGGCACACAGC